GAGAGAGAGAGAGAGAGAGAGAGAGGGGGTCACATCACAGTGGAGTCAGCTGTCTTAACCGTGGCTTGTGTACTGTGCAAACACATACCACCTTCATCACTGTGTCTGTCACGCGACTCTGTTCCCCTTTCGGGCTCTGTCTTTACATTTATTTTGAAAGCTGAAGCTCGCGATTATGGTAAGGGGCGTTACATTTCCGACGAGTGCTTGCAGGCTTCGGCCAATCACAATGCACTGGGTCAGCTGGCCAATCAGAGCAGACTGCGCTTGTCGGAAGGAGGGACTTTGTAGAAAACGAAGCGTTTGAGAGAGGCGGGGCATAGAGGACCTACAATAATGCACAGTATTTGAAAAATAATGTGTTTTTTGAACATTAAAGCATGTCAACATATTCTGTTACATCAAATACACAAAATAATGATCTTTAAAAAAGCATCATATGACCCCTTTAAAAAAATAAAAAAGTCTTTAAAAATAAAAAGTCTTTGTTTTATTTATAACTTTAAAAATTCACGTTTTACAGTGTACTTGCCAATTCTTTGAAATTGTTTGTGAAATATGGTTTATAATGTTTTATATTGGATGTTTTTCTTACACCATTAGGCTACACCACTTCAGAAGGCCTTTATTAACCCCCCAGATCTGATGGATGGATGCACTTTTTGGGCTTAAAAATCTCGACCACCATTCACTGCTATTATAAAACTTAGAAGTGCCAGCACATTGCATTTGTCTGAAAGAAGAAAGCCATATACATCTAGGATGGATTGAGGGTGAGTAAATCATGGGTTAATTTTAGGTTTTGGGAGAACTACCCCTTTAAGGCGTCAGTTTTCACCACGTTTCTTTAGCATGTGTAAAGACACACAGTTTTACCACGTTAAGATGACAAATTTGAATGTGTAGCCTTTAGCCTACTTGAAAACATGCTGTTAAATTTGCTAGCAATTTTTTTATAAAAATAGTTTCCTTGTTTTTCTTTATTTTTATTTTAAATCATTGAAATTATCTATACAGCACTAAAACAGTAAAAATAACTAAAATAATATATATAGGTCTATATATTTTCTTAAAAATATGTTGCTGTTGAGGGGATCTACAGTGCCACACCTTTTCTCAACTGACCGTCATTTACTGGAAACCAAAAGACAGGAACCCCCACCCACTTGTACACACACTTTAGCAATGCAGCATGGCAGCTACATGAAGTAATTTGTCTTGTTTACATATTATTGTAACCACAAGTACAGCACTTTTACAGGCTATTTAACAGGCTCACATAGCCTTCTTGGCAATCAACTGTATCTTAGTTATGAAATTGTTTAAAGTGCTATGTCATGTACAGGAAATGTATTAGTTAATACTGCTGTATTCAAAAATACACTGTGTTCACTAGAATCGTTTAGGAAGTGAATCACTCATAATGCATGGGATGAATGTGGGGGATTTTTTTTTCTTTTAAACTGCAACAGAGTTTCAGACAATAGATAAAGCATGTAGAAAAAAATCTGTGGAGAGAGTAATAATTTTTGAGAAAACTTCAATGACTTACACAGAAATAATAATATACCTATATTATTATTAGGTATATTATTATTATTATTAATTGATCTAGAGAATGAATTGATGAATATATATATATATATATATATATATACTACTGAATACTATATGTATACATGTATATAGTATTCAGTAGTATATATATATATATATATATATATATTCATCAATTCATTCTCTAGATCAATTAATTATTGAGGCTCATAATAGAAACACTTTAAAACCATAATATTCGACCAAATAACTGTTGTGACAAAAGAAGCAATTTAGAAGCAATTTGTCATCTAAATAAAGAAATTAAATAAAAGGAAAGCACATGAACTAATACTTACAGAGCAGGAGAAAATAAGTGCAGCAATGCCCAGAGGAAAACAGCAGCACAGCATGGTAAAAATAGAGTAACCCAAGTAATCTGGCACTTGACTAGCCAGTGGAGTGCCTGTCACAAAAACTGCAGGCTGCACAGCAACCACGGGCTGTCCTGGATACGGCCCCTGGGCGTAGGGGCCTTGGGGGAATGGCTGGCTTGGAAAGGAGGGAGGATATCCAGCAGGATTGGCCTGGTATGGTGGTGGTGGTGCCGAAGGATACAACATCGCTGATTTTTCAGATGAATTCCAGGCCCCTGGAGGCTGATTAAAAGACTGGCTGGGATCCATTCTTCAGAATATTGGGTTTTGATTTAAATTTCCTTTGCCTTGTGCTCTGCTGAGATGTATTCTGTTGTCTGGTTCAGGCTTGTCTGTGCTGATGAAGGCAGTCAGCAAATGGGAGGTGAGTTGTAGGTTTGTAGGGGAGGAGAGACAAGAACTTTACCCCTGGTTTCAACATACAATGTGCGCCACCTTGTGGTTTCCCATTTATTCTGAAGAGACACATGAAATATCAGGAGGATTATTTCCCCACACTGAAGCATATTTTGGGACCTTGCGGCTTTCCTGTACTTCAGAAGAAAAATAACTGTTAACCCATTTAATCCCACCAGTCACAATAGTGACCGTAAAAAAGGTTTTCATTTATAAAGCTCTAAAACCCTTACTGATGTTGTAGTGCACTTCCTGCAAATATGGAAAAAAATAAAGGGTCTCAATTAAATATGTGCAGTTTCACATGATTAGTGCAAATTGCCACATGACTAAAGCAGTTTATTTCCTGTTTGCACCTTGAGAAGATGATGGTTGCATCAAAGCTCCAAAACGAAAGCTGTTTATTTACATTTTTTTTTCAGCAATCAGCACCTATAGTGTGGGAGTTTGTTCAGAGATTTGGCAGCTGTGGGTTACTGCAGTTGCACATTCATTATGTATGAATCCTTAAATCTGAGGAGAGTGATTACTTTTATGGGTTTTATTAAAACATGGATGGTTTAATTGTTGTTTTAATATAACAGCATCTGTGTTAGTATAATAAAAATTGTTAAAAAAAATGAACTACCACGTTCATGGTCCAGAAAGGTAGTAAGGACATCGGCTCAACCGTAATTTTATGTAACTACAAGAATATATCCTTTTGGTGCACAAACAAAACAAAAATAACGAATTCATTCAACAATTTCTTCTCTTCTGCTGCCATTCACGAGAGTACCACGACGCACGCGTGTGATGCTGCTGACGCAGGAGTCGGTGTTCTGATGAAGGTGCTGCTAGAACACGCATGCACTGTGCCTTGTTTGCATGCGTTGTGGTACTATCTGGGGGTGGGCTCTTCCTCCCCTCCAATTACAGTTTTTATTTACAAAAGCTGAGACACATTTCACAAAATAGAAAACTACATCTACACCTAATTGTTTTGAAAGTATTTCGTTTTTTAGATTTGCAATGTAGCCTATTTCAGTATGGTATTACTGTGGAAATGTAGCAAATTGCTGTCTTATTCAGAAAAAAATGGATTCTAGCCATCATAAATACTGTAGTTTCCTCCTCTCAGCAGTCCATGTCTGACTATACTCACAACTTTACTTGTGTTTTAAAAGAACATCATCTCTGCTTTAAAAATAAAAATGTTTGTTTGTGCTTTCCGATTTGATTATTTGACAACACTTTCATTTCTGTTTAAGTTGGTTGATCACTGGAAACTGTCTTTGTAGTATTTTTGGTTGTTGTGCTTTTCTGATGACATTAAAATGTGGCAGGTACTGTAGGTAATAACTCAAATCATATTGTCATTTATTTGTTTATTAATTTATCCTCACATTGGTATATTGTTTGGGTGTTTCTTTAACGATATTCAATCTTGAAGACACATTACACACATACTGTATGTATGTGGGTTGTACAATCCTCTCATATTAAAAGCCAGACGTACCACTTCCTGCATGATAAATGTGGTGGTAAATAACAACAACAACAACAAAAAAGATAGATAGAAAGACATACAGATTTGTGTACATGTGTACCTAAATACATATATATGCTATGTTTTATTTATATATATATAAAATTAGCACAGCTGCACATAAGATATGTAACATAAGCAAAACATCTGAACAAAACATTACAGAAGTAAAGACAACAGAAAACTGTGTGGTTGCTTTCATTGGTTTAAACATACAACAATCAGCCTTAATGCATATTAGAGTAATGATAGATTGAGCAAGTAACATTTAAAATACAGAAAAACAAATCTGTTTGTAATCTGCATCCAACCATGTCAGCTCTAACAGCTTTTATCTAGTAGACCAAATCACAATCTGGATGATAATGATCAATACAATGACAACGAGGCCAATACCAAGGCCGATGTGATTCAGGGTGCGTGCCATTTTGGAGTTCTTCTCTGCTAATTCTCGCTGTCCTGAGTAGTTGGCATCTCGTGTCTGTGAAAACAGTTGTGAAATATATAATGTCAACCATTTTTGTTCTCAGAAATTGCTAGTAAATTTTGCAAGATAAAAGAATTTTGACAAATAAACTCGCCAGAAAAAAGTCAGAATTTTAAGATACAAAGTTGCACTTACACTTTTTATTTATTTAAATTTTTATTTATTATATTTTTAGCACATGGCGGAAACAGGCTTCCATAAGTAACACATTGAATTAAATGTGAAATTTTGTACAAAGTACAAAGACTGAAATTGTATTTACTTGTAAAACGTACTCCGTGCAATATTTAATTATTAAGCCATTTAGTTATGTTTGCAGCGAATTGCAAGTTTTCGATACGGGTCTTTCGTTTCAGTATGCATGTGTACCGAACAAATACAGCATTGTTTTTAACCACTGCAAGAGTGGACCTTCATTGGAAGCTTCCAGTTTTATATAGGCCTATTGTTACTTTTGATAAGTAACAAACTCTCATCTTTCAAATTCTGTCTATTTTTTTTCAGGAAATTCAAACAATAAATGCTGTTTTGATTCTCTTTGATGTGGCGTGACTGATCGCTGTATAAACACGTGTGGTGACAGCATGAAGTGCAAGTGAACGTGATCATCCCTTAACATTTACTACTAATTTTAACACGAAATAAACATGAATGAACATCTCATGCCTCAGATAATCGTTCAATCTGTGTTTCAACTACGGAAAGACATCACTAATAAAGCAGCTTGTAAACAAAATGTCACATAGCATTTTAGCTTACCTCAGGCAAGTCATCAGTGTGTACAGCACATTAGTTCACTAGAGAAATTAAGTCTAGAGAAGAGCATTTCGCAAAATATTAGACTATACACTCATTATATTTTACTTCACCTGTTAGTGATGTCTTAATTATTTAGTGATTAAATTAAATCTGTTAAGTGTAAATGAATATATTTCAACAACAATTAGAAATTGTATAGTTTAGAAGTTAATTTAAAGCTAAAGTCCGTAACTTTTTTCGTAAAAAATTATCCGAAATCCATTTTTGAGCAAGTACATAATCAGCCAGTGTTCAAAACTATCTCATTACCTTAGCCGATTCACAACGGTAAGTTTATAATAATGTTTTAAAATTGAGTGGTACTGGTAGGTTTTCGCGGGAAATTCGAGCATTTCGCTGCGTCATTACATCACGTCTGTAAACTAAACATAAAGAAGTTGTCTCGTCTAGTATGCTATATCGCATGTGAGGATGCTACAGGTGGTGGATCGTTTATAGCCTTTTCTCACAGCAGCTGGAATAATTAAACGTATCATTTTGACGGTGGATTGTAATCCAAAAAGTTTATGTGTTTATGAAACACAAGTCACTGAAATTACATTATATTCCAGTTTTAAATGTGCATCTGATTACAGATAGCCTGGGATTACTCAAGATTTGTATTTTAAAGACAACCAGTTCTAAGGAAGAATAATTTGCTTTTTGGGTTAAAAGAATTTCTTTATATGAAATTCGAATGTATGACAATTATAGATTAAACCACCCAGAGTTTGGTTATCATGTTTTCTTTTGTGTTTTCATTGTTTTTGCATGTAATACTACTCCCGTGCTCTAGGGGCGCTAGGTAGACTGCTCCTCTGTATTTAGCCAGGTAGGAGGGGAGAAGAAGTTAGTATGGTTTGGTGAAGGGGAAGCATGGTTTTGCCTTGTCCAAATACCCACACTTGCGGTCTTTGCACTTGACCACTTGATTACTTATATGACGTATTTCCTGTATTTGGCCCAAGTGTTCAAGTGAGCATGAAGACCACAAGTGTGTGTAGAACTTTTAATTACCTGATGGGACACACTTGTAAAAAAGTTTTGTAAAAATGCAAGTGTTTCCATAGCTTTATTTTAATTTTAATTTTAAATACTTTGCATTTAAAAATCAACTTCTAAATGTCTGTTCAGTAGTCCCTATAACATGACAATTTTCATTTGTGGTGCTTCTAATTAAGTGATAAAAAGCAGTTGCCAATGTTGTACAAAATAAATATCACCACTACTCATCTTTGCACCAATAAAATGTAAAAACTCTGTTTTTCTACCAAATTATATGTAATATCTAATTATTATATTAATATTTAACTTGCTTTGGAAAGGTTTCCGTGACCTCTCGCGAGATCTTGGCAAAAAGTGGGATACACTAAGCCTCGAATAGCGCTCCGGAGCGGTATTCGAGATAGTGTGGATTTAGTGTGCGTTAAGGGCACTGCGCTTTGGTATTTTTAAGACCTCGGACAGTCTTGCGCACTTACTTCCTGTCGCGCACACGCGCTCTCAAGTGGCCAAGACCGCAAGTGAGGGTATTTGGACAAGGGGTTTGTCTCTCATGGTTCACCCAAGATACACAGAGTCCAGATTGAGAAACTGTGGTTTTAAGCTTACTTCATCATTTGGCTTTTTGGATTAACTGTTTCGTTGGATTCCTAAACTTTATGGACACTTCATCACTGCATGGGACAACTGACTCTAAACTACAACTTGTAGGGATTACTCTACGAACTACATGACAATTGTCATCTAAGGGTTTCTTTTCCTTTCAACTGCATTGCTAAACGTCAGTGCCAGTATTGTGTTTGTGTGTATTTTTCCTTTTGTTTGCTATTTTGATTATTTTGGATGGGTTTTGTTTATGCTAATACATTTTTCCTGATCTTTCAAATTTTGTGTTTGACTTGTTTGTTCAAATGCAAGTTTGGTCGGTGGGTCACTCCCTCTAATTATCTTGTAGCTCACTTCTCTAGGGTGTTCTTAGGGAGACCGTTACAGACTGTACAGAAATTGAAATATATGTGTAACGCTAATACACACTACATACATTAGTCACACAATGCTGATGTTGTTAACATTCAATTTGAGAACAAAGTATAAAAGTAATAATAATTTGCACGGTTTGATGTGATATGAGCTAACCGATCGTTAGATTTAATCACCATTAGTAGCGCGATTTATTGTAATGCTTTTTTCCTCAGTTGGTCAGAACAAAAGTGGCAGACTTGTTACTTAGGCCACTTGTTGAAAATCCTTATTTGGGTCATACTTCCAAGATGTAGGCTAGAATCTGTGATTCTGAAGTACAGTGAATATCCACACCGGTGCAGTGACTGACAGCCACACATACTCCACAAAACATTACATTTGTGCAGTGTGCTGGTGCACAACCCACGTTAAGAAAATAATTCCGCAAATAACTGCAATTGCAGGTTTCAAACAGAGATGGCGACAAAGAGCAAAACTTACGTACTGTAGTTTTAAAAACTGCAATATGTGCAATTTACACGTTTGCATACATTTTTTTTTAAGTTGAGTGTTGATTATTATATTTAAAAATAAACAGTAATTCAATTTAAGTTTGGGCTCTTTTGTTAATCGTAACCTTTTAGTAATGTAAAAGAGCTCCCTATTGTTTAGAGCATAAGCTGAGGTAAATTTTTATCCCTAAGAAAATGTTATATATATATGTGTATATATGTGACCCTGGACCACAAAACCAGTCTTAAGTTGCATGGGTATATTTGAAGCAATAGCCAAAAATACATTGTATGGGTCAAAATTATAGATTTTTCTTTTATGCCAAAAATCATTAGGATATTAAGTAAAGATCATGTTCCATGAAGATATTTTGTAAATTTCCTACCATAAATATATCAAAACTTAATTTTTGATTAGTAATATGCATTGCTAAGGACTTTATTTGGACAACTTTAAAGGCGATTTTCTCAATATTTTGATTTTTTTGCACCCTCAGATTCCAGATATTCAAGTAGTTGTATCTCGGCCAGATATTACCCTATCCTAACAAACCATACAGCAATGCAAAGCTTATTTATTCAGCTTTCGGATGATGTATAACTCTGAATTTTGAAAAATTGACACTTAAGACTGGTTTTGTGGTTCAGGGTACGTCATGCCGGCACATCAGGAGATTCTTTACAATATGGCCACCATTGAAGAACTTCATCACAAGATGGCCGCCACACAAGAGTCTCTTCACAAAATGGCCGCCCTTCTAGCGTCTCATCACGTCTCAACTGATCTGAGGCATCCCAGTGACGTCAACGCTCTCAAGCCCCACCATCTTCGAGGTCATGCCACACTCTGCTGCCATTACTGTAATGGCGGTCGCCATTTTGAGCGTGTGGGCTGCACACTGCCTCACGAACTCATTGCCTGTCCTGCTACGGCCAAGGAGGCCGTTCTGGAACTCACTGCCTGTCCTGCTACGGCCAAGGAGGCCGTTCTTGAACTCACAGTCTGCCCTGTCACAGCCATGGAGGCTGTTCTTGAACTCACTGCCTGTCCTGTCACGGCCATGGATGCCGTTCATGAACTCACTGTCTGTCCTGCCACGGCGAAGGAGGCCGTTCATGAACTCACTGTCTGTCCTGTCACGGCCATGGAGGCCGTTCATGAACTCACTGTCTGTCCTTTCACGGCCAAGGAGGCCATTCAAGAACTCTCTGTGGGTTTTGTTTTGTTGTTCATGTTTTCATGTCTTTTATTTTGTAGTTTAGTCATGCTCCCTGTTTGTGTCATGCTTCCCTTGCCTCATGTATCTTTGCCTTGTGCATGTGTCATGTTCTGATTGGTTGTCCTAGTCCTGTGTCTTGTTTCCCATTGGTTTGTTCTTGTCATGTGACCCTCTTGTTTGCTATAAGTAGCCTCATGTTCCCATAGTCTTGGTCGTGTATTGATGTTGTAACCCGTAATCGTTACAATATGCTTTCTTTTTTAAGATTAAAAATAAATGTTTCCTGTCATAGCTATGCAAAGATTTAATTTCAAAAACAGTATCATAGCTATTAAAACAATTTCTTGTTCATTTTAAATATTTAATCTCGGAATGATCTCAAAGTAAAGAGGTGCTAAAGTCTGATTTTGTAGTAGCGGTGCTTTAAATTAAATTATTTTAATCTTAATTCAAGTGATGAAGGCTTTAAAGTCTGACAGTAATCAGTGTTGAGTACTACTGTAAGGTTAAGGCCTGGTTTAAATATTTGAAAATGATTAACAGTTGAAAACATTTTTTAGAAATTTAGAAAAGTCATCAAAAAGTAATCAAATGTAATCTATTACATTACTTTAATAAAGTAATTTAAATAGTTACACTATTTATTAAATTTTAAATAGGGTAACTTGTAATCTGTAACCTATTACATCTCCAAAGTAACCTTCTCAACACTGTCCCCAATCTACTGGCCTGACCAGTAATTCTTGTTAAAAATAATGATATAATGACAATTTTCTGTTAGTCAAACAGTAGCTTTCTCATTTGTGAACTGTAGCCTGCAGAAAGACAATCCTTTAATATAAGAATATAATTGATTAAATTTTGTATTAAACTGCTACCAATTTAAGTGGTAGACTACTTTTGAATTAATAGTAATAATGTTGCTGATTTACAAAGAGGCACCGCTTAGTCAATGGTTTCTTGCTAAATATTCTCACTGAGAGGTGATGATGAAATCCTGTAACTGCCCCTGTGTGTAGCCTTTACTTGAAAATATGTTGTTAAATTTACTAGCAATTTTTGAGTAAAAATGGTTTTCCTAGTTTTTTTCTTTCAGTGAAATTATTTATACTGCAGTACAACAGTAATAATAACTTATAAAATGTTAATATTTTTTCCCCTTAAAACTCAGTTGTTGTTCAGGGTGTCTCCAGTGCCACACCTTTATCTATACAACTGGCAGTCATTTACAGGAAATTAACAGGAAAACTGCAACAATGCCTGTACACATACTGTACTTGTTCAGTTAGGGAAGTTACAGGAAAGTTCTTGCCATCTTTATAATGCCTACATATTTGTGTGACCACAAATACAGCTTAAGCTTTAACAAGCCTCTCACCTATTTAGCAGTCAACTGTATCTCCTTTTATCTAGTTATTAAAATTATAAATTGTTTAAGTACATGTTCACTAGAATTATTTGGGCAGCATGGGATCAACGTAGGGGATTTAAAAAAAAGCAATATCTTTTCAGGTAATAGATCAACCACATAGTAATATATATATATATATATATATATATGATAAAATAAAATGTAGCAAATATATAAAATAAAAGATTGTACCAATCATAAAACATATTTTGATGATATTTAGATTTTGTTTTGTTTTGTTTTGTTTAAAAATACATATATTTCCATCTAGAAATAAATGTCAGTGCAGAATGATCCATCCATTCATTCTCCAAACCACAATGCAGAAAAATTTAATTTTTGACCAGCCATTGATAGAGGCTGTGTATGATTACAACACCTGTAATCATTAACTTTTGAGGATTGCCATATTAAATTCTACAAACATGTTATGCAATTTTATACTTAATGATTATACAAATGTTAAAGAAATTAAATAAAATTTAATGAAACTAATATACTCACAGAGATGGAGTAAATCAGTGCAGCAATGCCCAGAGGTAAGCAGCAGCACAGCATGGTAAAGATGGAGTAACCCAGGTAATCTGGCACTGGATCAGCCAGTGGAGCGGCGGTCACAAAAACTGCAGGCTGCACAGTGACCACAGGCTGTCCTGGATATGGCCCCTGGGTGTAGGGGCCCTGGGGGATCGGCTGGTTTGGAAAGGAAGGAGGATATCCAGCAGGATTATGCTGGTATGCTGGTGGTGCTGCTGCAGGCAACCCTGATTTCTCAGATGAATTGTAGGCGTCTGGAGGCTGATTGGAAAACTGGCTGGGATCCATTCTTCGGTTTATTGGATTTTGATTGTAATTTCCTTTGCCTTGTGATCTGCAGCAACGTATGTAATACTGTACTCTGGTTCAGTCTTTTATGTGCCGATGAAAGTAGCCAGCAAATGGGAGCTGAGATGTAGGTTGTAGGGGAGGAGTGACAAGAACTTTATACAGTGTGACTGCAGGCACCAACTTGTAGTTTTACGTTTACTTAGGTATTACTGATGAAATACCTGAAATATCAGGGGGGTCAAGAGGATTATTTCATCACATCCGAGCATTGTTTTGGGAATTTTTTTCTTCATTCCTCCTACCAGCATTGCATTTACTTATTACATAATGGGTTATAAACAGTGTTGGGAAGGTTACTTTGGAAATGTAATAGGTTACAGATTACAAGTTACCCTATTTAAAATGTAATAGTAGTGTAACTTTTTCAATTACTTTATTAAAGTAATGTAACTGATTACTTTTGATTACTTTTTGATTACTTTTATACATTTCTAATGAATGTTTATTTGCAACTGTTAATCATTTACACCATGCAGGGTTAACCTTACAGTAGTGCTCAACACTGTCAGACTTTCAAAATCCTTCATCACTTGAATTAAGATGATCAAATTTGAACACATCCACCACAAAATCAGACTTTAGTACTGCCTTTTATTTTGAGATTGATCTGAAGTTCAATGCAGATTTAAAATCATAAGAAATAGTTTACTGATACTGGTTTTGAAACCAAATCTTTGCATAACTACAATCCAAACCGTGTGGCGGAGGCGCGGAGAGCGCGCGAGCCGAAGCACTGCTAGTCACGACTAACCTATTCATGATTTATTAGAGATTTAATAATCGAATGGCGAATTCGGAAATAATCGCTTTAGTACATTCGGCAGGCAATTATACAATAATAATATTAAAATAGCGGGCCAAATCGGCTGTCAGGCCACCGGGAATTGTCCCGGTTCTCCCGATGAACAGACACACGCAGAACGTGCAGGATTCATATATTGTCTTTTTGCGGCTTAATATTCACAGACACTAGTCCATATCGCGTTTTGATTCAAGTGTACTGACCTACTTTTGATTTATTCGTCCAAAATGTGGCATATTCCGTCCGCGTTAGACTATAGGAATTCCGTTTTTATGACTGGATTCTACGAACCAGTCTGTGTTTTCCCCATCGCGGAAATTATGTCTCAGAGTAATCAGTGCAATTTGGGAAAGAAATCAATTAAATCTGTATGTGGAAGTGTGTAAATATTCAAATGTAATCCCCTTTGCAATCGTTAACATTTTCATAAGTAACTGTAATTTAATGACACATTTTTTCTCAGTAACTGATTACATTTACACTTATTTTGTAATTAAATTGCATAACTCTGTTACATGTAACTAATTACTCCCCAACACTGCAGTTGTAGATGCCAAACACTGCTTCTGCATCACGGATGTTGGCAGTTATGGGAAAACCAGTAATGTTGGGACTCGGCCTACTGGAGCAGAGCACCTGGGGCCCCAGCCTCACATTTTTGTGGCAGATGAAGCCTTCCCTCTCCGCAGAGACATGATGAGACCCTTCCCAGTAGACACAGGGTGTCAACTAAAGGCTTTCACTGGCAAGACTGACTATCGAGAATACCTTTGGTATAATCGCAGCACAGTGGATCGCTCCTTCCAATGCAGAAGCCTGCTGAAAATTCAGCTTTGATCACAGAAATAAATGACATTTTAACATATTCAAACAGAAAACAGCAGAGCTAGAGCAAGCCGAGCATTTGTGGTTAAAAAGTGGATAAATATTCATTTTTTTCAGAACATGACCGATCGCTTCGCTTGATAAGACACTTATTCCACGGCTGGGATCGTGTAGAGCCA